TTTAAAATTAAAGTTATTTATTTAAAATTATATAATAATATAATATCTAAAATTTGATTGGCTAAAAATAATAATGTTATTTATGATGTAATTGTGACTAATTGTGGCATATATGTTGCAACTACTAATAAAAATCATAACTATTAAAATTTAAATAAATAATTAAGTTACCATCTTTAGTTATTATAAATATTTATAATAACAAGAGAAAATTACTATTGTTCTGGCACATTGATCTGATATAATGAGAGAACTGATTCAATAAGATTCATTATTGTGAGGCTAGATTATATAAATCTTTTTATTATAATAATAATATTATTATTAATAAATTATAAAACTTAACTAGATTTAAAAATTATATAAGATAATTTATAATAAAAATTACAATTTATAAAACTATAAGTATTCTTAAAAGTGATGTAATTATATTTAAATTTTCTCTTTAAATATTAAATAAATTATAATATATAATATTATTTATAAGAATAATTCATTTATTATATATATAAAAATAAATATAAATTATAATATATTACATAATTTATTTATTTAACTAGATAAACAAACAAATAACTTTTCAAATTATATTTTTTAAGAATTCAATTATTTAAAATTTCAAATCAAAATTATTTAACAAAGTTAAATTTCTTTATAGTTATATTTTTATAATTATTTAATTAAAAATAATATCTTAACTGTTATAATTATGATAAATAAAATATTACAATATTACAACTAGTTGTGATCTATAAATTTATAAAATTTTATCACGTTATAACTAGTTGTAGGGCTATTTTATATTCAATTTGAATTTTCCAGTTACTAATAACTATAATTAAAAGGTCTCTTTATAACTACACTTCTTTACAATTATCCAATTTTGCTTTTCTAAGGATATAATTATAGAGAGGATTTGACTGTATTACAAACTTTTCTAAATTATATAAAAATAATTAATATAAATGTTTTTTTTAATGTTTAACAAATTATAGTATGTAATCACTTAGAATTTTATCTAATACTCTGAATATCTAAATTAAATACAATAAAAGTATACATAATATTTTGTGAAGACTGGAAATCTTTTAATTTTGTGCATTATTCAATAATGTTTCCAATGATTTTGATATATGTTTGAATGCTTAACTAATTAATAATGCATTCTAGTACATTCCAGGCGTTATAAATTATCACGAAATATTATTCTATAGGCTATTATCTTTTTTGGAATAATCCTTGAAAACTTAATTAAAGGCTTTAATATAATTTTAGATTTACTAGATACAATCCTTTTGATTATCAGCGTATATAAATTCAGAATCATAAATTTTTTATTCTTGATAAATATTCTTCAAAGTAATAATATTAAATCATTTAATCTATAAAATTAACTTGATTACTAATAAATAAAGAAATTATTAAAGTCATTCAGAGAAAAACAAACTACTAAAATAAATTTGTTTAAACACTATTATATTTGTATTTAACATTCGAAACGTGATAATTCTTTTTTCCTGGAAAATCTATGTTAGAAAAACTGCAAGTTGAATGTAATTATGGTAATAACGAATAGAATATCAACAATCCGAAATATTGAATCTTTGATTAAAAGTTACAACATTCCATTCTAATCATAATGATGCCGAGGGTAATTGTAGCACAGGAGATAAAATAAAAATTCTAAGTCCACAATAAGGGAATTCCGAAACTAACAATATTTTCTCCCGTTTATAGCATGGCAAAAAATAGGATTTGTTAATCTTATAACGCGTATATTAATTGCGAGATTTAATTAAATTTGTATTGAGAATGCGGTCAAATGTTTGCTAAAAATCATGTATCGATTATGAACTCACTAAGTTTAAGTAGATTAGAATGATGCGTTGAATTTATTCCAATTTCTAGAGTTAACAAGTGTAAAGATAGAGAATAATATAGTATTTTATAAGTACATTGGTTTACTGTTACATGCACATGTATGTCACACAAAATAAGACACGAGTAATTTTATAACAATCAAACTATAAGTTTCCCATCTTCTACGTTTTTTTGAACTTCATTAAGATACGAATGATCAATAATATACTCTTGTAAGAAGAATTCTAAATTATTTAGCCGCTTTTGAAGTTCTTCTAAAGAAACTGGCGTTTTTTCGTCATCATCATTTACTTTGACATTGACAAACGGTAGATTTGGGCCAAGTGTTTTATATAGTTTCTTTTGAATTGGATCTCTGATTCTGAAAATTCTTTGGCAAAATCCCCATGGTTTCACTCGTTCGATCCCTATTCATTTCAATTTTTTTAGAAATAATTTTTGACTTTACCAAATAAAAAAAGTGAGACATACCAAAAAGAAAGACATAAGTAGCAGAAAAACCGCTCATAGCGCCACCAAGAGCACTAAAAATGCCTAGTAACTAAATTGATTAAAAAAATTAATTAATTTTTTTTATTGCAAGAAACAAACAATTTTACAGAAACCAAAAACTTACATCAAGCGTTCTTTAATATGATCCGAAGACATAGGTTAAATATTAAGTTTTATATTTAGTAAAAGACAATGACGACGAATTTGATAATCGGATAAAGAAATTACTTTTTTTGTCCTATTTTTGGTTCTTCGTAAGTTAACAGTGATAAGTCCAAAAACGTATAAAATAATAATTCTGGATCCGTTGGATTCGTTAAATTCGTTAGATTCGTTGATGGAAAATTTGACGTTTCTATAATAGTTGTTTCATTACATAACTGTAAATAACACAATGCATCAAATCAAATCAAATCATAATGTGATATATCAATCATGAAACTTACGAAACGTTGTTTCGATGGCAAAATCGCGCTCATAGTCAGTTCGAGGAATACCAAAAACATTTTTTGGAGTATCCGCAATGCTTTCATTTTCATATCTTTTGAAACCAATGTAATTCACCTGAAAAAAAGGAAGAAAATCTGTGAGCATTAAAAAAGCATAATTTCTTTTTAAATGCTCATATATTCTTACCTGATATGGAGAAAGAACATATTTATTTTTCTTAATAAGTTGTACAAGCAAATCAGGATTATAGCTTTTATTTGCAAAGATTTTTTTTAACACGTTTGACTCTACAAGGTAGATATAGTAATTAATGGATAGTTATTTATAACGATATATAGCATTCAAATTTATACTCAAACATTTACCATGATCAATCAGGGCAACACTTAAAGTCGAAAACACGTCAATAGAATTTTTCGAAGAATTAGTTAAATAAAAGGAAAATCCAATTTCTTGGATTCCATCGCTAGAGAAAATAGAATTATAATCTGTTGTGAAAAATGTCGACACGTATGTTTGGGAATCTTCATCAAATGTTTGCGGAGTCATGTAATTGTCACAGCTCGGTGATGTTTCATTTTCTAAAAATATAACAAAAAAATTTAAATTTGTATGGAAATTTGACTAGATAACATTAACTTCGATTACTTACGTAAACTGAAATTACAAGTTAAATTGTATTGGAAAGGAGCGGTAAATTCAACATCTACATATGAATACGATGCATAAATTAGTCTATTCCATTGTATTAAGCGAAATAAGAAAAGTTTGTATTTATCTTACATGGAGGTGGAATGTAATAATCAAATCCCGGAACCACAGTTTGTAATGGATCATCCCCCACCAATCGAAAAAATAATAAAATAATATAGAGATACAATATTAAACCAACTACTCGTAAAAATATTCCTTTGAGAACCTTGATTACGGTTGGTTCTGTTTTGCGCCATGAAGCTTTGTTGGGGATACTACAACAACAACACAATATTGACATTATTGAAATCTTGAGGTGGTTTAATTTTTTTTTATAATGTATATGCTATAAATCTCGTTGTTTCAACATAACGCGATGATTCTTTTCGTATTTATAGAAATTTTAATTAATTATCTGTCACCTCTTTTTCCTTTAGTTTTGTTTGTGTAAATTTTTTCGTTCTGCATATAATAATAAATTTGAGTGATACAGTAATTTGTGTTTTATGATTATATCCCGAAATCGCAGGAAAAGCAGGGACTTTAAAATAACTTTTCTTTTTGCATACTAAATGCGTGCGATAAGCTTTCGTTTTAGAGATCAGAACAATTACATGTATGTACATGCATTTACCAAACCAGATATTGTTCATCGAATTAATTTGTAAGCAAAGCAAAAGTCTAATTAATCGTTATAATACTTTCTACTTGAAAAACATGAAATTAGCCTTATTGAATTCAGAATTTCTGATGTGCTATTCTTGCTGATTATTTTTTGGACTTTGCACAACTTGGAGCATCTATTAAAACGTATGGCGGGAATCTGAACACAAAATTCTTTCATGTTTCGGATACCTATTTGCTTTATTGTGATTGCCTTTTTTAGTAACCTAAATAATTATCGTTATATTACCGCATTTGTTATAAGTGTTACAGGTTAGCGTTTGATTGACGAGTTACATGTGCTGGCGAAAACCCGCATTGAAATTTCTTATAGGCTCAGTCATTTAAATTTTTTATAGACTATCATTTCTTGGGGCGAGATTGCTAAAAATAATTTGTATGGTTAATTTAGATCCAGAGGCACCGCATAATGCAGCCACTCCACGGACACAACTTTTTTTTCAATAGTATTGTTTTCCTTCAAAAATTTGCGTGACATATTTTCCGATTCCCAATATATTATACTGTATATACTGTACATGTATCCTCAGAGCATATGTAGCTGGATATTTTAAAGCTTACTGTTGTTTCATCATTTGCCAAAGATTTATTTTAATTTTTAATTCTCACTTTGTATTGTTACAATTTTTACTGATTTCTCAATCTCTGTGATTAGCTTGATGGCTTTTTTATACCGGTTTCAAGATGTTGCAGTTAAGTTTTCAACCCGCAACTTTCAAGATAATTTTATATATGACAATATCGATATTGATTATTTCTTTATAATGCATCATTCTTATAAAGATCATTGTATCATTATGAGAACAATATATAAACAGTTCGTATGACACCAATTCGCCATAATTCTGCTAAAAACCTTATCCATTTGGTGCCCCTTGATGAAAGATTCAACGAGATGAATCAAAGCAACAAGGAAGCCGGCGATGGTAAAAGAAGGAATCGCCGAGTACAAGCTACGCAAACCAAAAAACGCATATCCTAATCTGACGATTCAAGATATATAATAACGAAAGAAACTGGCGAACAAAGAACCCACAAAATCAACCTCGAAAATAATGAAACCACGAAGGAAGAATATAAACTTAAACTGGGAGACGAGATAGCGCAAGGCATGTTTTCGCATACAATGAAAATCAACGGCCGATTATTGTGAACGGCAACTTTGCGGAGCAATATTTCCGAGACCATCAGGCGAAATCAAACAAAAATATATACATAGTGAACCGCATAAGAAAATGGAACACGAAAAAAAAATACGTTATTTTGTATAGAACAAGTAAATTACCATTTGCAGCAAGAAGAGGTCGTAACTTATGCCGTAAGTTGCAACCAAATTTTAATCGGCGAAGGCGAGCAAATTAAAATGTCGAACTCGAGGACGACCACGTATATCCAACGAATCGGCTAGTTCTCCCTGCGTCGACGAAACCGTGCCGAAATTAACCAATTGCCGAACAAAGGATTCGTTGGTGACTAATTCGACCCGACCGACAACTGGAAAAGCCGAAAAGAACACATCTTTGTAAATTTTCATTAGGTCGGTTGACAAATTTTTGTGTAGCACCAAACAGACAATCCACATTTAGAACAAATAGAATTCATCTTCACTAACTTCTTTTTTTTTCTTTCACAAAACTCTTAACACGAAACATGCATCCACGATATAGATAAATGTGAGGAAAGAAGTAATTCG